GTCATAGATTCTGCATCTCAGCAAATCCTTGTGAGTATCAAGGTGCTGGATCACAAAGAAGTACCAGAAACTGTACAGAAGCTTTGTGGTGTGACAGGACACTATGCAAGGTTGTGGGGACCAGTGTGGGTAACTATTGAGCTTATGGGCTTAAAGAACAGACAGAAAGTATACTTGGCTGACATTGAAGACCAATGCATATTAGAATTGGACTATTTGATACCGAGGAAGTTTGTAATTAATTTGATAAAATGACGTTTGGGAACAACAAAGGCCAAATTCCCGTAAGTGTTAAAAGAGAGGTTGGACTAACCAGGTTTCATCAAGCTGAAGTCAAATAGACTGAAAGAGTTGATGATGGTGAAGTGGAACCAAATATAGTTATTAAAACAGAACAGGAGAAAGATCAAGATTTGAAGCCAGTGATTGATTTTCTAAAAGCAAGTGTTTTTCGCCCTGCTTGGGAGAAGGTGTCTAGCTTAAGCCCTTGACGAAGAACTATTGGGCACAATCGGACAAGTTGAAGCTTGAAGATAGTATTCTTGTCCGGAGATGGGAAAGTGATGTCCTGGCAAACAGTTATACCGAGAAAGTTACGGGAAGTTGTGCAGCGTCAATCCCATAATAGTTTAACAGGAGGACATCTTGGAGTTAAGAAGACATTGAGTCACCTACGACAGAGATTTTACTGGATAAAAGTAGTTAATTTTAAAGGACGAGAAACGTATTGACTGTGGAATTACTGTGTATTAAAAGTTTGTATCGAGGAAGAATAAACTGGTTTGATAAAGAAAGGACTTGTATCGCTGAAGTTCCTCGGGAAGAATTTTACCGGAAATTATCAAACAAGGAGATACGTAATAATATTCTGAAGGGTGAAACGTTATCAAAATCATTGAAAGAACTAATCTTTTTAAATTAAAAAGTTATTTTTAATCAGTTGAAAATGAAGCAAGTTATTTATTCACCACTGGTGTCAAAATATTTTAAGAAGGAAGTTAGTTTGTTTGTTTTTTGGAATTTCGCGTCAAAGCTACACGAGAGCT